CCAAAAGGACGAAAGGAGGAGGCTGGACTAAATGTCCCAAATAATCGGACTAGAAATAAAAAATCCAAAGACGAGCAATAAATTGGCAGATAAAAGGAACAAAATTTAGCATGCAGAAGAAAGATGAATTATTCCTAGTGCACCCATTACAAACGAAAATTCCATACACCTTATAAAGGAGTCATCATCACATTAGCAGTCATGGAAAATAGTTCCTTAATGACAACAGTGTATCCTTTTAATGATCATTAACCTGTGAACTTATGGAATTCAACAAGGATATCTCCTTCAACATCAGATCCTTTATCTCCAAGAGTGCATTGTAGGTTGCATAGTATCTGCGTGTTTGCCTAAGTTTATCCTGCATGATGGAACATCTTTAGCTGAAGAGTAAAATATCATCATCTGAAGAAGTTTGACAAATAATATGAATCAAGACAAACAAGTCGTTGATGGAAAAAAAATAATTGAACCTGGATGTTAATGTATAGCTCTGAAAATCGGCGCTCGTACCTGCAAACTGAGATTAAATCAGAAGAGAATGGCTTTCCAGCTAATGTAAAGCATTTAGAATTATTTCAAAGTGCCCATGTGAACATTTGAGAAGAAAAAAGAAGTTCAGAATTCTTCGAGTTGATAGCACAGAAATTTAGAAATTCAGAAGTCAGAGTTGAGGAATAAAGAAATGAGTGGAATGTGTCCACATCTAAGATTGTGTACCACGTGCAATGAACTGGACACTATCTTTAACACAATGCAGTCAATTTGTGATGGGAAAAATAGGGGGGGAAAAGAGAAAAAAAATCGTAGCTCCATACACAGGCATGTGATGGAGTGGCCATTAGTCCAATGGTTGAATAGACATGATGTAAACTCATGTCTTTAACGTCATGGATTCAAATCATGGTTCTCACCTACCAACAATATTAAACATACAAGTCTTTTGAAATCAAATATTATAGAATCAAGAATGGTCTCACATAGAATAAATAGAATGCAGGTAAAGCTAAAACAAAAACTCATGTGTGTGAATGTATATATACAAAGAAGAAGAAGATGAAGAAGAATGACATTGACATGCCACCACTACTTCGGTAAGAAGCTGCATTCATCTCTGCATGCAATTAAGAGCATAAACAATAATAACCAAGCAAGAATGAAATGGGGCACTTATTTGAATATATATCAACTAAATGCTCCTTAGTTTCCAGCCATTCCCAGAAATAGAAGTTTTACATGCTGCTTCTGCATGGTCGTAATCCAAGACTAATCAACAGCCAGAAATAGATCAGATAATGAGACCTCGCTGAGGCTATTTAGATTTCGTCATCAAGAAGGTACCGAGTTAGAGGCTAAGAATTGTTACTAACCTAAAGATTAAGTTTCACTTCTCAAAATGAAGTTCTAGTGTTTTAAAAAGCACACAAAAACTTCATTAGGTCCTAAACTTTTAAGCAAGATATCAGCCGCAGCAGCTCAGAAAACTGGATAGATCAACTAAGGAATTCAAACTACGACCAAGAAAAAGTGACAACAATGCAATCATCGCTGAGAAGAGGTAAGATAATGCAATTATCACCAAAAAAAATTGAAGATAATATCATAATCATCTAGAAAAAATGAAGAACAAACAAAATAATTTTTAGGAAGGAAAAACAAAAGGAGAATAAGAGAATAACAAACTGGATGAGTTCAGTTTGGGTTGGCACATCGTCAAGAAGCCACTTTAATGCAAGTGTTTCCCTTAATCTTGAAGCAAGTGCCTATAATAAAGATAAAATACAGAGTACTTAAAGATAAAATACAGAGTACTTACAGTCAAGATAAATAGATCAATGAATTGACTAGATCTAATGCAAAAAGGATAAGGATTCAATGATGGAATTTTGAGTGATAGACAAAATCAATCATGACATGGAATGGCTTCAAGCCTTGATTTTGAATTATTCATGCATAAAAAGGAGAACACAGTAAAAAACTGCTTTGGGGAGAAAAAAAAAAATTTTACCTTCTTTACAGAATTCAATTCCTCCTCAGATTCACTGATAAAATTATCTAAGCTATCCAAGAAATTTGAGCATTCGTGGTCTCCAGTTAATCTTCCCTCCAGCTCGAAAATCTCAGCTTGCAATTTAATACGCTGGGCATCACATGGAGATAGGAGTTCAGATTCCTGCTTTCCAAGATCCTGAAACAAACCAAGGTGCATTTGAAACACAAAATTATAAGTTGTATATAAATATAACTAGAAACACAAAATGATAAGTTTCATATAAATATATTACAAGAATAAGTTGAATAAAAAATGGTTGATAGTTTTCAAACTCAAAGAATGGGGGTTAGTTGTGTACGTGTGTGTGTGTGTGTTTAAGTAATTATGCAATTTAACATTACAATGTAGAATAAAAATGAAAAGGAACTTTTCAAAATGACTATACTTTCAAGCCAAACCCCTTGTAGTATCAATTTCTGACATAAGCCGGAGCCCACGCCTCCATCACAATCTTTTTAAATTCTTATATTAGATGAGCCACAGAGGTAAATTGTGATCATAGATGGCATATACAAATAAAAAGATATGGATGAGAAAAAAAACCTATACTGAATGCTGTTCCAATTCAAGTATGGAAGATGTTTGGAAACAAAAGCTTTAAAACACAAATCTGATAAAGCACAAGAAAAGAAATTGGTAAAATACATCTTGCATGTGAGAATGCATGGTATTAGAAACAATATGATAGCTGTCAACAGAGAGAGAGGAACAAAAAAAGTTCTATCCAGATGGTTATTAAATAGAAAAAAAAAAAGTTTAGTTGATTTAAATAGAGAAAGATACTTCAAAGAACCCTGAAAATGTTCAAAAAACTTTTCCCAAGAGATGTCCCTTCAGTGACTAGCACACTTCAACTAAATCAGAGAAAATATAAAATCTTCAGCCCCCTTAGGAGGAACAGAAAACCGGTCTAGAATAAAATTGTAAAGGACACTACAGAAAATCACAAGAACTACAAACGAAATGCAGAGAGACAATACTATTCAGCGAAAAAATAAGACTGTAAGTGCAGAGCAAAGGTGCAGACCTCCAAAGTCTTCAAGCATGACATCAAATTCTGCACCACATGATTAGCATTCGCCTTACTGACTCTATCTTGTAAAAATTGCAAGTCCTTCCCCACTGCAACTTTCTTCTGGTTCTAAATACCGGAAATAATGAGAAAGAAATTCATCAAGGGAAAAAAATTCTTAAGAGAAAAAACTGATAATTATGCTTGATAAATTATATTCTAATATACGCTTTTTAGTGATCTTGAGAACTCAGGACTTCAAACAAAAGCCATGATAGATCCTATTATACAATTGAAAAGGAAGAAAAAAAGGAAAAGGAAATGATTTATAAAAACTCCGACCAGTTCATCCACGTCCTCCTTTAGTATATCCATTGAAACTCCATTGTCGGAATCCACCTGAAGGGATTGTAAACATTTGTTTTCCTCAATCAAGCGCTCACTGCAAGTACCCTGTGATTTCCAGTAAGTGAGCGCCACAGCAGTATGAAATCAGACAACATACTGAAAACATCAAGCCTATTTTAAGAACTCTCAATACTACCAGCAAAACACGCCGCAAGTCCAAGCCCAAGTTCCTAACACAGAATTGATATTTACCGAACCTAACCATCATAACTGATACAATACAAAGACTAAGTACCTGGCTCTTGATCGCCTCAGACATTACACGGACCACTGATGCGGATGGAAAGCACCCGGACGAAGGAAAATACGACCTCTACAGAAGACACTGTAATCGTACATGAATCACAACGATATACAAGACATTCTCCGATCAAATTAAAGCTCATTCAATTCTCTAAAATCGACGCTAACAATTAATTTATGATTCGAGAAGTTCATCAGAAAGTTCCGTCCCTCACTTTCAGCATGGAAATGGTATAAAATGAGAGGGATGACATCGAATTGATAATGCACACCTGTTACGATTCGATGCAGCAGGGAATGCCGGAAGCCAGCTCCTCGGATGAAGAAATCACGGATTTCCGAACGCCGTCGAAACTGATCGAATGGCAAAGGACAATGTGGCCTGAAAATGGAACTCCGATAAGTCAATAAAATTGCTAATTTTATATGAACCGCTTAGAAGAGGATCCTCTTCTTCATCCAGGTGATCGGCGGGCAGAACTATGGATCGGAGCACCATCGCTTCGTACTGGGCCGTGACTTAAATGGGCCTGGCCCATTTAAGATTAAAAGAAGGCCGATAGATCGCTGAACTAAATTTGAAGGAAATTGGCAAAAATAGCCAATAAAAAAACTCCATTTTTATCAATACTCTAATTTTGCGAAGGGTATATTTGGAATTATACTATACTTCCGTTAACTTAGCAACAATCCTATTGTCAAAATTTAAATTAATTAAATTCATCTTATATTTATATGTAAGATAAATTGTGTAAATAATTCAAGTCAATAAATCTCAGTCCTCAATTTTGATTTTTGAAAACTCTTTTTTAGTTTCAAATTAAAAAAAAATAAAAAATAAAATAGTTCTCGAATTTTAGATTTTGTGTTAAATTTAAATTAATATATTTTATTAGTTTAAATTTTATTCTCCCTTACAATTCAAATCATTATTTAAAATTATTATTTGTCTAAATTACGTTTTTAATGGCGTATTTTCTTAGATTTTGTGTTAAATTCAATTCTACCTGATTATTGGTAATTCATTTTTTTTTTTTTTAAATTTTCAATTCAACCAAGAAATCAGATATTCTCCTCAAGATGTTCCTGAGAACGGGCTACACGTAACTCATAAAAAGCAAGCTAAGCTCAATTCATTCAACGATACATATGTTGTCAAAAACAAGCTAAGCTCAATTCGTTTAAGCATATATACTTGTTCAAAACTCGGGAGAACCGAAAAAGGTAGGGGGGTGTAGGGCTATTGATCAACCATTGAAATCATAGCCTTTCTTTATCATAAATGATAGAACCACTTTTCCTCAACATTCAGCTTTATCAAACACAACTCACTTCCCTTTTGCTTTTTTTTCTGGTAAGCTTTAAGCCATGTTCTTGTTCTCTCTAGTACATCAATAATGAGGCTAAAGCAGCACAAAAGGCATAGCAGAAGAAGAGTAAATAGTATACATTCTACCGGTGGATGGGTGTCCAATTACAAGAAGAACAGTTATGTCAGAATTTGGGGTCCTATCACATTCACCTCAAGTTTCATATTTCTACTAAACCCAAAACAGGAACAAAAAACATACAAAAAAATTACAAGTCCTGATAAAAAAACAAGCCAGTACCAGATCACTCACTGCTTTAGCTTTTCATTCTAGTAGTAGTGTGATGTGATGATTACCTTTTCTTCGTTTTCGGGTTTCCGTCTTTTTTTCTTTGTTTTACTTCCACAGCTTGATGAACTTGTCGTGGCTGGCCGAAGCAACCAGACCCGATGCTGTAGACCCTGCTAACGAAGATATTAAACCTTCATGAGCTGATACGAACATTGTCTTGTTCTCGGTCGTGTTCCAAAGCTCTAATGACTGCAGCAAAAAAATGGAGGTGAGAGGGGAATAATTGATTCATCCTTTGAAGCTTAATCAACAAGATTGGACTTGCCTGGTAACATCCAATGACCAGTAAACTAGATTGGATGGGATGAAAAACGCACGAGTGGAACTTATTGCCGCTACAGCTCAAGTCGTGAATGGATTCGCCCTCGTTGCCCGAAGCAAGTGTCCATACTCGAACGGAATCCTCGCTAACAGATGCCAGGAACTCTCCAGAAGGATCCCAACAAAGAGAATTAACCGTTTTGGTGTGTCCCTATACTTAGAACCACATATTTCATCCAAAAAGGCAAGTTGATGCACATGAAATTTCAGAAACATAAAATTACACAACTACGCAACAAATTGGCACTGAAAAAGCATAATGAGATGAGCTGTTCAAGTCCAACAACATGTGGGGTTCGATGGCTTCGAACCCCTCACCTCTTGGTACCAGTTGTTGCTTCATTGAATTCGCTTCATTAATAGGTTCACGATTCGACTTTGATCGTTATGGACTGGTACCAAGATCTAGTCCTAGACAGGCAGACTTAATTTTAACAGCGGGTACGGTAACAATGACTACTTCATAAAAACACTTCTCGATAAGCCCGGACACGGAAGCCGAAGGGGATTAAAAACATGAGAGAATGTCGCCCTTTGCTTAGGCTTGAGAAGTGGTCAAAAGTATATGTCTAAACTAATTGAGCTATATCGACTACTTAAATGAGCGGTTAAAAACCAAGAATAGGTGGAACAACTTGAAATATAAACAGACCTGAAACGAATGCAGACGAGCTTGTGTCTCGACATCAAAAATTGAAACGATGTTATCTACAGCAGCAGCGAAGTATCTCCCAAGCCGAGGTTGAAATCTCAACTGGCCAGTACCGCCCTAATTTACACAAGCAATTTAGAAACTATGTACTAGAGTCGATATGCAAATAATTACCGATTTTTCAGCATCGACCAACAAAGAGAATGGAGAAAAGGATTAGTTACTTATAAACCAAGATACCTTGAATACTGCTGCACAGCTGCCATTAGTAATATTCCAGTATCGAATCTCACCGTCACCGTCACACGAGCAAATAAAGTCGTCCTTCTTTGGATGGAAGTCCAAAGACATAACAGATGCAGAATGTCCAGTAAAAGTACGTAGGGAATAACATTGCTGCAGGTCGAATTATAAAAATGTATGGTAAGCTTTATCCGTTCATCATACGCTAATACTTGTGAACGTTATCTAGGTTATTTGAATGATGCAAGACCAATAATTAAGGAATAAAGACTCGAGAGAAAGACATAGTAGATGATCACTAACATTGTCGGCATCCCAAACCCTGACCGTTCGATCAAACGATGATGTTGCGAGACGGGGCATGCTAGGACTAAAACGAACATCAGTGATCATGGAAAGATGTTCTTCAAGTGAAGTTTTCGGTTTTAAATTTTCTGTGTACCACAACACGGCCTGCAGAACCATCATAACAAACCCGTCAAATAAAACACATGGATTGACCAATGCTGCAACCAATAACAGGATCTTTGAAATCTTACATGCAATATTTTAACCATAACACTTGATATACAGTACAGGTCATCATCATTGGGTTCTCACCTTTTTATCATGGCCACCACTAGCAAGCAGTTTTCCATCCGATGAAAAGTGGCAAGCGGAAACTTTGCTCGTGCTTGCTCGAACAGAATTCACCTCCGTAAATGTGAATCCTGAAGGTTAAATTCACTCCTTAAAGATAAAATACAAAAAAGTAGACCAATCTCAAAAACAGTGTTCAATTATCTAGAGGTTAATTATCCATTTTTTATTCGTTCAAATCGCCGATTAAGATATGTTAAGCCAAGAGACAAAGTCTAGAGATGTACGCATGGTGCAGTGCCACAAAGCATCTAACAGGGTCTTCTCGAAGTGCTTGTACAACTACTATATCACTCGGGGCAGATAAAATACTAGTCACTTTCAAATATTCATTTACTGACTGGCAATTGCAAAGAAACAAGCAGAAGAATAAGAAGAAAGCAAGGTATAGCATTTACGGCACCTTTTCCACCATCCATACAGCGCCCTACAGGATCTCGAGGGTCCGTATCATCATGGGATAAAAAAGAGTCGACATTGTCATCAAGAGACCCATCCTCCACAAAGCGTTCCATATCAGCCTGCAATTCAATTTCTTTATCATCCCACTGCCAAAATGGAATGCCAATGAGCAAGTGCAAAAGGAATTATTTATAATTCCTTTGATACAAACAACTACCAAGCTACACCTACCAACTGATTCGAGGGGGATGTAAAAGTGCCAGTGCCGTCGCTGCTGAACATCATCAAAGGTTTAGATGAACTACCACTGTGAGGCAAAGCAGGCATTGAGATTGCATCTCCAGGTGTGTGAGTTGAGGGAGTTGAAGGAGCAGAACTTGGGGATGGACCCGCTGTATTCGCTGTTCCTGAGCTATTTGCTGGACCTGAAGACGACAATGGCTGCTTCCTTTTTCTCCCAGGCTGATTTTTTGAAACCTGTAAATGAAATGTCAAAAAAAAAAAATTAAACCCAAATTAAGACGGAAAATATTAACTTAATACTTCATGGATGTATAATAGACAACTGACGCCAATCATACCATATGACCTGTTATCAAATTCACAAAAAGGGAATTATCAAAATGCCAGCCTAAACATCCTCTTTGTCATATTACTAGCAAGTATCATCAGTTGAACGAGTGAACGGAGAATATAACTAAACAGATACACACAGACGAACACGTAACATTAATATTTGAAATTACAAGAGGCACTCAATATCGTGCTAGAGACAACCTGTTAACATTCAAAATGTATTGTAGAAAGATACAGATGATTTAGCAACAGTAAATTGACTGATCATGATCAATATTCACTACCAAACCTGATCATTTCCACGAAATGAGTTTGTCATGCCACCATCCATGGTGACACTGCCAGCACCCCCGATTTTTTCTTGCTGGTGCATATTGTGGTTTGAGCTTTGTGATTGTTGATTTGAAAGAGAATGCTGTAGTTGTTGTTGGCTGCTATTCTGTTGCTGCTGTTGTTGCTGCTGCAATTGAGCCATTTTAATCTAAGGAAAACAAGACATGCTTAGAAAACTGGACCACGAAGTCTATAATGTGCACTAAAACAAAAACTGAAACCGTCCATAAAAAAGTAATTGACAGAGTAAATTAACACCTTAATCATCATGTCATTGTTGTCTCCACGGGGCAGGAGAGGACTGCCAGCTTGGAGAGGAGATCCAACATTTGGAACAACATCACCAACAGAATTTGGAAGTCCATCTTTCGTCATTCGACTATTCAAAAGCATTCTCAATCTTCTACCATCATCGTTAACAGAAGGTGACGTTAAATTCTGTTGTGCGAGCATAAGTTGTTGTTGGTGTTGCGGTGTCAACATCTGAAGCTGAGGAAAAGGTTGAGGAGCCTGTATGAAAGGTTTCGGTTGCTGAAGGATCCCAGAACGTAGCTGCTCGAGTCCCTGTAAAAGAAAAAGGGGAAAACGAATGAGAAACCCCATCAACTTGGAATCCATACATTTTACACATTACTGTATTAAAAACATACAGTGAGGGGCCATCCCTTTAAGGTCAAATTATTGCCACCATGATTTGATCCTGAAAGATATTTTCATTAAAAATGTAAGACGATTTGACGATTGAGTGATTAAGACAGGTTTCAAGGATTCCAATCACAATGTATTAACACGATAAGTCCTCAAAACATCAAAAATTTGACAGTACCAGGAATACCCATCAGTGATCCCTCAGCTCTAGGATTCAAAACTGGGTTGATCTCACTCTTTATATCCTGCATTTACAAATTTTTCAAGAAAAAGGGAAACAATATAGCATATAATGAACTTAATAGAAGTACCGTACCGGTGTGGAACCTGGCAATTGTTGGCTCCTCGATTGAACTTGAGGAGACATTCCCCCAGCTGTACCATGTAACACTTGCCTGTAATTAAAATTTAGAACTCGTGAGCAGCAAGATAGCGCACAGGCATCCAATGCAACGGTTAGTAACATCCAACATGCAATTCTTAGGAATTTCTGCAGATTCTCATCATGCAACAATATTAATACCTAAGTTACTTCCTCCCATAAAATTAAATATAATTATGTAAAATATCCCATCAAATGTAAATCAAACTCATCAATAATCAGCAAGAAAGTCTTTATATGTGCACGGTCGTTGTTTTCGTTTTAAGTGAATGCAGTGATAATGAAAGAAATATCTACGAGGAAAGCACCCTGATGACTGGCTGGTTGCTGCAGCTGACTTCAGAATCGAAGCATGATTTGGATCTAACAGCTGCCCAACATTTTCCCCATACCTTTGCTGTAAGATTTACAGAGGAAGAATAATAAGAAAATGTAACAAAACCTTTTTCTTGCCAAAAATCTAGCCAGTATACCTACTTTCATAGCCGCATCATCGAGTGAATCCCTCTGAAGGGGCAGTTTTAATCTGTCCTCATACATTTTTGTGGCCAATGCATTCACGGAACCGGGATTTTGGCGCATAAGAGGATCATTTCCAACAAAACCATTTGAAGTACCATTTAAGAGTTGGGCTCCATCTCTTCGCTGCTGTTGCTGTTGCTGAGCCTGTTGTTGTTGCTGCTGTGGCTGCTGTTGCTGTTGATGCTGTTGCTGTTGTTGTTGCTGCTGCTGCTGCTGCTGCTGCTGCTGCTGCTGGGCATGTCTCTGCATCAGTAGCATCTGCATGTGTTGCGGTTGCTGTTGTTGTGGCTGTGTTTGCGGCTGCTGCTGCTGCTGTTGATGTTGCTGATGTTGCTGTTGCTCTCTAGCTTTTATTAATTGTGTCTAGAAAGTTCATACACTGTAAGTATCTTTTGCAGATGAATTTGTCGACACGAGGGAATATTTCAATGATTTTTATGGTATCAAATAATATATGTGCACTGAAACAGTGACTCTTTTTTCAAGAAGGGATTGTTCTCATCCATATATGTTACATTTCAATCAAAAACTTCGAAGAAGACACCGGGTTTGACCAGTATAGACTTAAGTCAACGAGGAACACATTCAACTCCAAAACGGTAACAAAAGAAAAGAAATCAATAGCTTTAAACAGCAATCTTATAACAAACCTCAATATAAGATGCAGCAACATCAGAGTGTTTCTCATTGGTTCTAGCAATGAATATATCCCAGAAAACCGACCACCATTCGAAAAGAAAGCCTCCAGGCGCATCGATCGCTGTAACCCACAACTCGAAAATCAATATCAACATGAACAAATGGTACAATACCACTCCATATTGAACCAAACAGATGAAAAAACATCCAAAAACACTCACCCACAGGCTCCGAAGACACTTTTCCCTCTGCTTGGAAAGCCTGAGCAGTAGCCTTCATATCTCTTTTTACCAAATAATCGTGAATATAAACATCTAACCTGTTACATAGCCATGCGCCGAGTACAAGAACAAGAACAAAATTCCAAGTTAAAGGGTAATTGAAAATTCATATCCATTAACAAGATATGAACACTGAGGCATAAGAAATTAACAGGCAAGTCATGGGGTAAATTGAAATCAAGTGATTAAGAGAAAACATGAACCCTAAATCCTCCAAAACGAAGTAATCCCAATGCCAAAGACTGGCGCGCAAAATTTCAAGAAAACAAATCGAAATATCGAAATTTGTAATGCTATAAAGAAGCAACAAAATCAAAATTACAGAAACCCCAATACGAAATCAACAAAGAGAAGAGAATAAACTCATTGAAGTAACAATAAAACGGGAATATGAAGCAAAACACACAACGAACTTACATTTTATCAGCTTCCCAGTTGGTTTGAGACATCTTTTTCGAATCCAAACAGTGGCAGAGTGATGGATAAAATCAAATAAACTGATAGATTCTTGAACAAACAAGCTTCTGCAGCTCTAAATGAGCTTTTCTCGGCCAAAATCACCAAACCCAGAAGCGAAAAATCAAAACCCTTTTCGCCAAAACCATAGAAGAATCCAGAAAAAAGGAAGAAATTAGCAAGAACTGCAGAAGGGAGAGAATCTACGCAATAGAATAGAAGCAGAGCCTCTGATTCCAGCAATGAAAGTATAGAGAATGTAAGGCCGTATTAATATTAATTTATTATTATTATTATTACATCTACCAATTTTTTTTTTTTTTACATTTATATAAAATAATTTTTTATTTCAAGGAAGGATCGAAATAGATACCTGCAATCCAAAAACGTATTTTTGTTCCCAAGCTTTCTGCTTTTATTTCGACAGAGCTGAAAATTTATTTTCCTCATCTCCGTGGGCCTTCGACAAAATGAGACTATATCGTAATAATGCCTTTTATCCTACGCAATGACTATTATACCCCTCGTGAAAAAATCAAATTTTTCAGTATATCCCGAGGATTTTAGGTACAGAACAAAAAGGGTCATTTCGTACTTTCGCTCTGCCTGATCTGCTCATGGCTTTTCAATCTGGGGTTTGAACTTTACTGTAATTACAGAAACGCCCAATTATATTCTTTTCTTAATTGTAAAATCGCCTCGTGTATTGTTTTAAATTAATATTTGGTTCCCATGCGTTGCCTCATGGTAGACGGTTTCAGGACTGCTTGTTGGTCTGACTTTGACCATGGTTAAGAAATTGCAGAATACCTAATTTGACCTTCTCTTTGGTATTTAATTTTCAAGTCTTTTCATTTTTCTTTTCATTTTTTTTTTNTTTTTTTTTTTTTTTTTTTTTTTTTTTTTTTTTTTTTTTTTTTTTTTGGGATGTCATGTCTTTTTCTGGTAAATTATACTTGGTAAGTTTATTATTTAACCAATTTTTGTGGAGCTTTTCGGTAATTTATTATAAATTGTTATATAATTCCTTATTTTAAAAAATATATATTATATTATTTATAAATTATTGTATGAGCTAAATGATAAATGTGAGCTCGTAGAATGAATATTTGTCAACTTGAATATAGTTTAATTTATATAAGGCAGTCATGTTTTTAAACAATAAAAAAAAAAATTAACAAGATTGAAAACATACTTTAGTATTGACTAGCTTAATTTTCTATTCTCGAGCCATATCAATATTTATTATATACTTTGTCATCACTGATATACATTCTAAAAAATTTCATAGGAAGTCACTCAACATAGAATTACTCAAAATAAAAATTTCCATGATTAAGTGATCGAGAAAGAACATGCACCTTGTTGATATAGGTAGTGTCTTTAATCCTTTTAAGTTGTCTTATTTTTAGGGTCACTCACATTCGCATGTAGTTTTAGTTCATTCATGCACCTCTCATTACTCGGGTGTCACAAATTTTGTAGTTATCCCTTGTGTTGTTAAGGGTCGGAATCCAATATTTGTGCCTTTTGGCATGTTAGGGTGTTGGGAACAACATACTTTCTCGTGATTTTGCTTTTGATTTCTTAAAAAATATCTCGTACCAATGAAAATATTGTCGACTACCCTAAAGGTCTTATTTTAAGTATTAAATAGTATTGGAGGGTTAGAAAATAAATATACTTTTTTAATAATTTATGAATAAAAAATTGTGGTCAACGAGTGTACGATTAATAATTAAACAATAAGAAGATATTCTTGGATATTAGGTCATATTAGTGCAAAATGTAACACAAAATATCTTAATAAAAATAATGAATAATGACATGAGAACAAAATATAAACTATATAATAAAAAAAATGTTGGAAAAAATAAGACGAGATAACGAGAGAATATAATAAATTATATTATTTTTATGGTTTTAAAAAATATAATAAAATTAAAATAAGACAAAGGAAGAGTGAGAAAAAAAGTAATTATGTTCTCGTAGGTAAAAAAAAAAAAAAAAAAAAAAAAAAAAAAAAAAAAAAAAAAAAAAAA